CGCATGACCACTAACAACCATCCTAACACCAGTTCCAAGGGATCTGATACTCTCTTCTGACCTCTGTGAGCACTGCGCAACATGGATACACTTACATACATGCAGGCAATACACTCATGAACACGTAAAATAAAAATAATTTTAAAAAAAGAACACAGAAAAAGAAGAGAACCTATCCCTGGCTATACAGAAAATATTGAGAGCTGTCCGTGTACTCACATTTGAACATTGCATAGCACCCTTTGATACTGAGATTGGTACCTTTTACCTGGGGCTCTCACCCTCTTGTATTTACACTGCTTTTTTTAAAGCCTACCCTCCCCTGATATTTTTCAATCAAGTATAAACATCAAATAATGTTTTAGAAAGTATTAAAGTATCAGGGAAGATGTAACTTCCTAACTCGATTTGAGCAGTCTTGATAAAATTTTCACCTTCCAAATGGGTAAAAAGTTATGCTTTAGCAGGCACTATGCAGAGATGTTGTGGAGATGTGCTACCTTTAATTCATTATAATAAAACTCCAGTTTTAAGTCCCTGAAGGAAGCACCTCTTAGTTCTACCACTCTGGATTCCTGTGCTTGCACTTCGAGACATTTACAGCATCTTTAACATCTAAAACAAAATGTTCTTCATCCCCACTCTTACTTTCGAACTTTGATGATGTTTGTAACATTCTTAAATATTCTTCTGTTGGATAATGAGTCTCAAAAGAACTAGTGAAAGTTTAGCATGAGTTAAAAGAACAGTCATTGGTACAGTGTCTGCCAGGTAAAAATACATCTCATCTTAAAAAGATGCTTATCATTTGCAGGAGCAGTCACCTAGAAAACTAGTCAGGCTTGTCCTAAAATGTTCTAAAAACAATAAATTTCAAAATTAAGAGGAATGGATACTTTTCATTTCTCAAATTCTGAATTAGGTTGCTACTACTTACATGTTTGAAAAATCTTCCTAATAAAATGTAAGTACACTGACTATTCAGGTAGCAATTCTTCAACTTGTAATTCTTTTAGATTAAGCTAACAACTGCACTTTGGTTCTGTAAACCAGCAGTAATTTATCTTAGGCAATACATTTTGCCTTTGCTGGTCAGATACAAGTGCAGAAGTGTGCCAACTTCAATAGTGGATCCATTATGCCATGAAGAGAAGTCATTCAAATGGAAAGGGTTTGAAAGTGTAAAAAAAAAAAAAAAACTCTGAGTGATGATAAACGAGGTGCTTTGGACTCCATACTCCATAAGTGATATGGTATTTATATGATTAAGATAGATCTTATACTCTGGTTCTGGAAGTATTAAAAGCAGAGGGCAAAATGAAAATGAGTCGCCAGCTGGGCCCCAAAAGACAGCATCATTCCACCAGAGAAGAGTGTGAAGGAAAACAATACACTTTTCCCAAGCGAACAAGGAATGCAAGATACTGCAGAGCAAGAAAGCCCAAGGCAATCACAGGGTTTAGAGAAACATAACCTAGAGCGACACCAGACCCTGAGTTTAACTTTAAACTCCCATTTGTCTAAGGTATGTATTTTGATACAGTCAGAGGTTTCAGAGAGTTCTAGATTAATGCTGAACAGTAATTCTTTGTTTCAGCAGTAAGTTATAAGGAAGACTCTTATCTATTACTGCTATGAGCACGAAACATTGTCACAGAGATTCACCCTGTACCAAGGGTCAAAGTCGCCACCTTTATCAACATAATTATCAGTTGTGACTTTTAACATTTGTTGCTTCAAATTCAAAGACTTTCTTATATAGTTTGACTTTTTAAATTACACTGATAATTACTCTAATGCGATTAAGTGAAAGGAACACTGAAGACTGTCACAATCAAGAACTGGTGGGCACTGGTGCTGATTTTAATATAGCAGCTGTGTGACTTATATCAAGAAATCCAACCTCCCTGACTCCTGACATTTCTACCTGTGAAGATACTGCAATGGATGCCCCTTACAATTGTGAAGGACATGACATCAAGATGAAGGAGAGATTAAAAAAGTACAGAAAAGGATGGGAAAGAATAGAGGCAGTAAGAAACAAAATGAAAGGCAGAAATTTAAAACAATATTCATGCAAATAAAATATGCATGAGTTATTTACACTCTTCAGTTCTTTCTCCTGAAATACAAGACATATCATGCATATACATTAGCATTATTTTATGTTTGTGTAACACATTTGGTTGAGACTTCTAGAAAATTTGCAACTACCTAAGAAATAAGCAATGCCTACATTCCTTATTTCTAATCTAAGCTGCATGACAAGGCGGGAGACAGGCACCTTTTGCCTGCCATCTGAGAGTTTTCCCTTGGAACAGCAAAAAAGACCAGGGATTCATAAGATGGGAAACATGATAAAAGATTCAAACAGGCCAAATCCCTGCTGGGAATACTCAATGATGACCTAGTCTATTAGCAGCCAAGAACAGTTAGTGTCAGCTTGCCTATTTCCTAGTAGATGCTCAACCTGACCTGGAGAATTTGCTAAACATGTCACAAGTGACCTGCCTCCTTGAATAATATAGTTCAGCATCAAAGGAGCCCAAAATCTATTCGGAAGATAAAAGAGAGAAAGGTGGCCAGTGTGAAGGCAAAGGCAAGCAGGAATTCAGTCTTTCTCATTCTTTCACATGGTCTCTCCGACAGTTACTTTAGAGGTCCTTCTCCACTTCCCCCTCCCTCTGTCCCACCTGTAAATGTCTATAAACCCTGGAGAATGAAATGGTTCTAGAGAAGTTAGAGATAAAAGGACTGGCCACTAAATATTACTAATGAGATTAGTTATTAAAAGCCAAGTGAGTGAGCCTTTTTCTTTAAATGGTACATAATAAAGTCTATCACAATGAACACAAATATTTTGATAATTCTTATGTGTTCATAGGATAAAATATTCTAGCTTCACATAGGCTCCTGCTGAACCTCTGTAGTATTTTCTTGAAATATGAGTTCTGTGTTTAGTATCTGAACATTATTTCATTTTATATTATCTTATTAAATCTTTACTTCTTGCCAGGCAAAAAAAGCTAGAGGCCTTGAAAGGCATTCAAAGGAAGAAGGAAGAAGGAAACTTAGAAATCATCGAATGTTTAAGAATCCGATTCTCCACAGTCTTGTCATTATCCATGAACTGATTAGGAAATCCACCAGATGAAACCTTCACTCTAATGCCCAGTGGCTTCTGCCGATTTCTCAAATTACATGCTTGGATGAACAGCAATCAGCATGCTCTTTTCTCTACAAGATTTATTTTTATTCATTTTAACTATGTGTTATAGGGGTGAGGGGTATGCGCATGAGAGCACAGGTACCCTGGAAGGCCAGAAGACCGTGTGGGGTCCCCTGCAGATGGAGCTGCTGGTGTTCATGTGTCTCCTCTCTACGTGGGTGCTAAGAACCAAACTCAGGCCATCTGGAAGAGCAACCGTGGTCAGATACAAGTGCAGAAGTGTGCCAACTTCAATAACTGCTGAGCATCTCTCCAGCCTCCTGTATGCCCCTATGGTATTCATTTCTGACCAAATATTATGAAAGTTCTAGAATCTCCAGCAGTTATCTTTATTTCAAAGTTTGGTTTTGAGCCTTTGTTGCTGAAGTGAAACTCCCAGCCTTGTGCACGGAGGCAAACAGGGACTTAGAAATGCTGATTCTTTGTAGCCTTTACACAGTCATTAAAATGCCTATCGATATTTGTCTACAGTTTCCATATAAAGATCTGTCCTTATTTACAACCTTCCCATTGATGAATAAACTCATGAAACATTAGACAGAAGTTATCAAGTCAAAGACCACAACTGTTTGCTAAGCCTAATCACTTCAAACACCAGCAAGAAAGAAATAACCAGGTGAGACTGAAAATGGACTTTAGCATAGCATTTCCAGAAGAAAAAGATGACTTAGTTTTTAAAAGAAAAAGTGAAAGGAAAATATGAAGTCAGTAAAAGATTTTGAACCTTTGTGACCAAACTATTTCTTACAGTTTGATCTAAGTAAATAGAAAACAAAAACAACCAAACACACTTCCTGGCCATCTGCAACGACAGGAACAATGGAGATACAAAAAAAAACCTTTAAGACTAGCAAAACAGTAGGATTTCACATTATATTCTTTCTTTTGTGAAATCTCGTAAAGAAATGCACAAAGCCCACAATTTGTAGAAACTAGACAGCGTAAATAAGAATCATTTATAGATTTAGTAAATTAAAAATGGGCATTTTCAAGCCAGGTGTGGTGGTGCACACCTTTAACCCCAGCACTGGGGAGGCAGAGGCAGACGGATCTCTGTGAGTTCAATGCCAGCCTGGTCTACATAGTGAGTTCCAGGACAGCTGGGGCTACAAGGAGACCCTGACTCAAAAAAAAGACCAGAAAAATAAATAAATAAAAGGGGGGGGCATTTTCATGCAGCCATCCTAAGACTGTTCCAAAGAACTTCTAATTTGCATACACACCCTGGGTTCCAAGGTAGGGAGCCAAGTAATATTATGCTTATATTAACAGAACACAGAATATTACCTTCATCATTCAAAACAGCAAAATACAGTCATCTCTTAGAGTCTACCGGGGAGTTTTTTATGATCCACCGTGGAAACTAAAACCTCAAGCCTCAAATAAAATCACATAGTATTTGCATATAACCTACATAAATCCTGGTGAAAACATTAAAGTACTTCTATCAGGCTTGGGAGGAAGGTCAGTGGTAGAACGATTGCCAAACCTACAGGAGGCTCTAGGTTGAATGCCAGGCACCACAGTAAATAATAAAGTAATAAAGCAATAAATCACCTCTCCGTGCTTATAATACCCAACACATAAATGCAGACATGAGCTGTGTTTTGTTTTTTCAGTTATCTCTGATCTGTGGTTGGCTGACTTTGCAGATGTGAAATACACAGATACAGGAGAGCCAACAATACCACAGTGGCAGAACTCTGAAAGACCAGTGTATGCGTATGACTTCAGCAGAGCATCCTTCCGTCAGCTGGGCTGGCTGGCTTACCTAAGCAGCGGTAAGGAATCACAATGTGGGTGTGGGTCTTGCACTGCTTGCGGCCCCGCTTGCACCAGTTCTGGATGGTCACTGGCTGGTTAGCTTCTACCACATTTGTGATCTGCAGTTCAGGGTAGACCTGGAGAGCACAGGAGAAGAGGCAACAGTTACTCTTGGTGTGGCCTGATTCATATATGATGTGCTAAATCTCTGCCATCATTACAAGGTCCTGCCATCCCCGGGGTGCCAAGGTGCACTATTTCTGACCAACCTATAAATGCATCTGTGCCAAGAAAAACAGTAAGTGACAGAGTTCTTAGTCATGCCATTCAAAGCACCAAGCAACATGGACAACATTTAACTGTACCCATGTAGACTTAAATGTTTTTTTCTAGGGAGATTAACAGAAATAAGGAAAAAGTGAGAGTCTTAAAAGCACTGGATCATATTCAGTGCAAAATAAAGACTGCCATGAGGACCATAGCTTGCAATGTTCTAAATAAATGCTATAATACATTTAGGGTATTATCTTCACTTAAGTTCAACCTACTCCTGTCTCCTTAACTAGGCAAATATTTTACACACAGAATATGATACACAGCAAGCAGCTAGTTTTCCATATTAAAAAAAAATATCAACCACTTTGCTCAAAATAGTCACATAAAAATATTCTATTAAAAAGTCTTCAAGGGGGTCATTTAAAGAGCATGCTCAAGAATTCTCTTTTCTTGGTAACAAGCCATTTAGCTTCGTCTATGATGACCACTCTAGATAAATCATGCTGTTTGCTGAGCACTTGGAATGAAACATCGAACTCAATCAACTAAAATATGTTTGTGAAATATCAGACCACTTGTATTTAATAATGATGAGTAGAGACTTGGGAAAAAATGGGCTCTGCTCAGATTTTTGCCAAATAAATAACAATGGAAAGAGGTGACTAAAGGCATTAAGCAAGGAGGGGAAAGTGAGAATGGAATAGGTTTTACATGCACACATCTAAGAGAGTGTAAGATGATGCAATTCAAATCCTGGAGCAAGCTGAAGAATTCTTGGTGTAGATATAGCAGAAGGAGAGAGGCAGCAAGAGGTCCCTGGGAGAGTCTGAGAACTGAAATAAAATTTCTGAAAGATTTGCAAGGAACATAAACATTATCATCAGAGGGAGGAGATCATAAAGAAGGAGGGGGGCAAGATCCCCAAAGAATGGGAATCATGGAATTGAGAAACTGAAGTCTTGAGATCACTGAGGTCACTCAAAACAAATTATGAAAGGACTGTCGTAGAGGATGACAGAAAGCCAGCAGCAGACGTCTTCAAAGCCCGAGGGTGTGGGGCACAAGGTAGAGGGACTCACAGATGACCCCAACCGTGGAGGAGAATGGTGTTCTTGTTTGAGAGCATGCATTTCACAGATAAGGTAGAAGGTGTTCTGGGGGAGAAGGGATGAGTGGCTTGGCAGTGAAAGTGAAAAGCAATGGAAACCCCCATCCTGCAGGTACAATGCTCTGAGGACTGAGGGGAAAGAACTCCTACTTGACATCACAGGGGAAGCAATGTCTTTGGGGGTTTGCAAGGTTGCCGAGCAAGAGGACTGCAGCCCATGTGTGTGTTACGGATACAGGCATTCAACTCATTTCATGAATGTCAGTGACTGATGGTTCTGACTGACCCTCTCTTTATTTAAAATGTTGACACCTTGTTCATTACAGTTCTTTGACTGATTTTCATTTTCTCCTAATACAATAAAATATTACTTATCTTGATTTCTGAGGTGACTCGGTCACCTCACCTCAGTCTATACCTCACCCCCAATATTGAAAACTGAAACAATGAAAACAGTTAAATTGGTTACAGGGTATATTATAGGTAGTGAAATATTATTCAGCAGTACTAAAAAACAAATGAGCTCTCCAGCTCAGAGAACTCAGAGTGGAAACTTAAATGTGTATGAATAAGTAAAAGAAGTCAGTCTATAAAGGTTACAGACTGTCAACTTCTATTACATGACATTCTGAAAAAGGCAAACCTACAGATACAGCAGAAAGATCAGTGGTTGGGACTGGGGAGACAGCTCAGTAGGTAAAGCACTTGCCACACAAGCATGAAGATCTGAATTCAGTCCCCGGCACCAGGTGATGACCTATGCTTATTACCCCAGAGCTGGGGAGGTGGAGATGGGCAGATCCCCAAGACTGAGTGGCTGGCCAGCCTTGCCTCATCTGTGAGCCCCAGGTCAGTAAGAGACCCTGTTTCGAAAAACAAGGTGGTAACTCCTCACTGACAGACAATCGAGGTTGGCCTCTGGTCTCTACACACATGCGTACACACCTGTAGACACAGACACACACGACTTGACACTGAACACACATACATACATACACTTGCACATACTATATATACACAGAATCAGGTATTGTCAAGGCATTGGGGGAGTTAGGAAGGGTTAAATAGAGCACAGAAAATGAATAATAGGACAGTGAAATTAATGTACGACACCAAAAGTGAGCCCACGTACACTGTACACTAAAGGCTGTGAGTGATAATAACACGTCAGTGTGCCCTGATGAGCTGCCACAATTGCACCCCTCTGAGGCAGTGTGATGATAATGGAGGAATCTCTGTCCCTTGGCCTCTCTGTACCTTCCTTTCAGTCTTACGATGAATGCATAACTTCTTTTAAAAAGTCTATCGATGGCCTCTTCTGACCTCCACGGCATTGCACGACACGGGTGCACTCACATACATGCAGGCAATACATTCATACACATAAAATAAAAATAATAAATAAAAATTTTTTTAAAGTCTGTCATAAAAAAAAAATCTTAAAAAAAATAACGCCTCAATCAGAGTAATCTTGTAGGCTAAATTCAATGGTAGAGGATTATGTGGGGAAAACACACAAACATAAACATGTGAGAGCAGGTGAGATGACTTAGCAGATTAAGACACATACTGCCAAGTCTGAAGACCTGAGTTCAATCTCCAGGACCCACATGGTGGCATGTGTGTGCCCATAGGCACTCACACACATGCACACAAAGTAAATAAGGTAAAAATGTGATAGAATTTTAAAATATGTAAATCAGAATTCTGAGCTGAGAGTTTAAAAAGTGTTTCAACCAGTGCTGGTAGCTTTAGCTGCAAAGGGCACAGTGACTTTCCCTTTATTTTCCTTTGGGCTTAAGTGTCTTTAACCCTTCAATACATGCATTTCAGGTCACAGATGATGTTGTCTTTGAAAATGCCACTGAAAATTTTAAAGCCTCGTGGCCTTATTCTATATAATGAAAGGCGAGTGGCTTTTTATCTAGAAATATAATTCTCCTACCACCTTTTGTTTATTATATCGCAAATGAACAGTACTCATGAGTCATAAACTCCATGGCATTAGAGTTCGCCCTGGAGGACATGACTTTATGTAAAGTCATGTAAAGCAGTAAAGTGTGAGTTACTGGGTTTTTCTAAAGGGATTCCAGCTGCCACTTCAGAAATACTAGCCTGCTGAGAATTTTCTTAGAGTTGTCAGTTTCTTGTAAACCCCTGTAGTAGACATAGTCATATCACATTTCCTTCTTTTCACTCTAAACCAACAAATTGTTTGTGGTTACAAATTTCCCAGTAGGAGAAATGCCTTCTTGTTTCCCGTTGGTTGCACATCACCTTCAGATTCCTAAGGTAATACTTGGTGCAACAGAGCAGTAAATTATTTAACTCCCAGTTTCTAAGCAGGTAGAATTGCAAACTGACAAATTAGAAACTATGAACATGTGGCTTCTCCCCGAAGATTAGCTTCGAGTAGTAGATCAGTCAAATAACTTATTTCCAGTTCCAATTGTGAAAGTTAGCACATATGTTATCCCTTGGATGTCTCCTCCTCCCGCCATCTTGTTGACAGCAATAATTAATATGCAGAAACATGTAGAGATATAAAATTTGAACCACATAAAGCCCATACAGTCCATTTCCCTAATAAATACAATGGAAGCAATAACTCCAATCTGACCCAGATACTGTTACTCAGAAATAAGAGTTATTAATTTTCAGTTGTCAAAAACAGTTTTGCTGTTCTCAACAAGATATTTAAAAGGGAAAAATAAAAAATTCAAAGTAAAAAAGTTCCTTTTGAAGTACAGCATGACCAACTAGCATGATATATACATGAAGGATCCCCAACAAAGCAACAGACACTGAGAGACACACAGACACATGCAAACGCTCACAATGAAAGATACTTTTATTATAAAAATTCCCAACACTATACCTACTTTTTTGTTAAACAACTCCAGTAGAACTCTATAGAGACAAAGATCCATTTTTTGTTGGGATTGGCTAAGTCAATTTTGGTCAAGAATAAACATTAAACACACAAATATCCTTGTAGCTATTACACTTAAGTCCCTAACTTCACCATCATTATTTACAAAGAACAACATAATGCTAACTATTTTCTTTACGGCACAACACATCATCATAAAGGAATTTAAGATGTCATAATTCTGTCTGTGTGTGTAAGTACTATGTGTCCATGTGTTGTGTGTGTGTGCACTGATGTGCCTTCCTGTCTGTGAGTACCGGTGCACCCTTTCCATGGCACATATGTGGAGGGCAGAGAATAGTGTTGAGTGTCAGTCCCCATGACTGCATATATCAGGCTAGCTGGTCCACGAACTTCTTGAGATTCTCCTGCCTTCACTTCCCATCTTCCCAAAGGAGCACTGGGATTACAGGTGCACTACCATACCCAGCTTTGTATGGATTCTGGGCATTGAAACTCAGGTCCTCACATCTGTACAGCAAGGGTTTTACCCACTGAGTCATCTTCCCAGCCCATCGGAGTCCTTTAAGATATCTAATTTAGATGAAATGTTTAACATAGGCAAAATAGGTATTGTTAATGGAACAACCATTGCCAACAATGTGCTGATGCAGTGACACAAATAAATCCTTATTCTCACAGTCCCTTCTTTTCTAAAATGGTTCATGCATGAAATCTATGAGTTAGTTTCTTGATTGTTATAATTAAAGATTTTAGGGATGGAGAGATGGCTCTTGCAGAGGACCTGGGTTCAGTTCCCAGCACCCACATGGTAGCTAACAGCCCACTGTAATTCCAGTTCCAGGGAATCTGATGCCTTC